ATAAAATTATCGTTTCGTGTGGAACGTGGCATATAAAAACAAATAAAAAAAAAATGACGTGTCAAAATGTAGCGGACACGAAAAGGAAAGAAAATGAAAGTTCTTTTGATTGAATATAACTCTCCTGATACAATACTACCACTGTATAGTCCTATTCGACTACAGCAAAAGAAAAAATTATTAAATTAAAAAACTTAGGAGAAAAAACATGGCTCGTTATCGTGGACCCCGAGTGAAAATTGTACGCCGTCTTGGAGAACTCCCTGGATTAACTTCAAAAGTACCTAACCGTACTTACCCAGCGGGGCAGCATGGACCTTCGGCAGGTATGCAGAAAATGTCACAGTACCGTGTACGTTTACAAGAGAAGCAAAAGTTACGTTTCAACTATGGTGTAAGTGAAAGCCAACTTTTAAAATATGTTCGACGTGCTCGACGTGCGAAAGGATCAAGTGGTGAAATTTTACTCCAACTCCTTGAGATGCGTTTAGATAACACAGTCTTCCGCCTTGGTTTTGCACCAAGTATTCGTGCGGCTCGCCAATATGTCTCACACGGACTTATTACTGTAAATGGGAAAGCCCTTACGATTCCAAGTTACCATTGTGTAACAAACGATACAATTTCAAGTACGGCCGCGCCAATTCTTGAATACAGTAAAACGTTTGGTGGTGAAATTCCATCGCACCTCAAACTTGAAAATGGTAAAGGAACAGTTCAACGACCAATTACACGTTCACAAATTGCTTTAACAATTAATGAATTATTAATTGTAGAGTACTACTCACGTAAAGGATAATCCGAGACTCTCGAGACTTCGTTCTTTTTTATATTTTAAGTATAATGTGTTCTTTGACCGAATATTCGGTCAAAGAAGCAGGGCCTAACTTAATCTTCGTGTTCTTCAAAAGGATCACGAAGTTCTTTTGAAGGTGGTCCAAATCCCATATAGATTGAATACCCAGTTACACTAATAAGAAGGCACCAAAGAAAAACGGCTGTAAAAAATGCTGGTGTTTCCATAGTTGTCAAAGAATCAAAATTTCGATAAATTTTAAAATAGAAAGTAAAAAAAAACAAATAGATGTTAACAATTTATTAATATGGCTACAAAAGTAAGCGTACCAGCAAGCGATGGTAAACTTCCTGGAACAGGAAAAATTACACGATTAGGAACAGTATTACGCCCACTTAACTCAGAGTACGGAAAAGTAGCTCCGGGTTGGGGTACAACAGTAATTATGGGAGTATTCATTGGATTATTTGCAGTTTTCCTCGTAATCCTTTTAGAAATTTACAACCGTTCATTACTTCTTGATAATGTTGGTGTAGATTGGCTCTCAAGTACTGGATACTAAGAAACAAGTACTAAGCGAACATCACTGTCGTTAAAGTAGACTAAATTTTCTTTTGGGAAGTCGAAAGGCTTTCCAGAAGAAAAAGTAAAATGGAGTTGTAACGACAAAAAAGTTGCTTCTTTTGCCGTTTTTCGGCATAGTACAGACAACATAACTTCTGGGATTGTAGTTCAATTGGTTAGAGCACCGCCCTGTCACGGCGGAAGTTGCGGGTTCGAGTCCCGTCAATCCCGTTTTTCCAAGACATTTTGCACAGTCAACCTCTGAGAGACAAAAGTGAGAATAAAAAAATAAAAGAAATAACGTGAAGGTTTTTTAATTCTTTCCTATACTATTAACTGTCGCCTCTATACCTCTGAATTTGGTGAACCACTTCCTAAAGGAGAAAAACTCATGGCTACATTTTTACCATCTATTTTTGTACCTCTTGTGGGTCTCGTTTTCCCTGCTGTAACAATGGCAGCACTTTTCTTATATATTGAAAAAGAGCAAGTAAGTTAAAAACGATACTGCGTTTCTTCTATATCTAGAAGAGCACGCGGTAATTTCGAACTCTTGCAGATAGCAACTATGTTATCTTTATTTTCAACTTTTTATTATTTACCTCAACTCGTGGAGTTTAATCTATGAATCTTGAATTAATTGGTCAACTCGTAAGTGTTGCTCTTATCGTTGGCGCAGGTCCAATCGTAGTAGCGGCTCTTTACGTTCGCGGCGGAAACCTTTAATATTAAATCAAAGTTATGTCTTTATCTGATACACAAGTTTTTGTTGCACTCTTTGTTGCTCTAATTACAGGGCTTCTTTCAGTGCGTCTTGGAACGCAACTCTATAAGTAATGTATCCGTTACATGGAGACTTGTTCTCGTGTAATTGTGCGTATGCTTTATCATACGGCTTGCTTTTGCTTCGTGGAATTCTCTACGAGGCAAAAAAAGTAGAACAACTTCGGTTGAAAAAACTAAACAAAAGACTTACAGAGAAAAAAGCCCGTTGTTTAAACGAGGAAGATTTGGTACTCTATCCATTAAAGCATATCGGAGTGTAGCGCAGTTTGGTAGCGTACGTCGTTTGGGACGATGTGGTCGCAGGTTCGAATCCTGTCACTCCGAGCTTGAAAAGAACCAGAGGACAAACCGTTCCTATATTTCTTTACTTTTCAAAGCGTCCTTAGTTCAGTTGGTAGAACGTAGGTCTCCAAAACCTGATGTCGTAGGTTCAAGTCCTACAGGGCGTGTTTAATCAAATAATTTACTAGAATTCTGTTGTATAGTTTCCTTGTTCAAATATGGAGAGATGACTGAGTGGCCGAAAGTACTTCATTGCTAATGAAGCGTACAAGTAATTGTACCAAGGGTTCGAATCCCTTTCTCTCCGAGTCAAAGTAGAGAAAGCTTTTTTTTATACTTTCTTGCTGTTCCCCTTGACGCTTATGGCGAATTTTAGATATGCTATCCACTATAGATATATGCGTCGCGACGATTTACACGTTCTTTTTCTTAAACATTGAGAACTTGAAGTACGTCACCCGTTTATAAGAAATAAAGATGTCGTATTCATTGGACCTCACTATCGTAACAGGAGATTATTATGACTCGAGTAAAACGAGGCAATGTAGCCCGTAAAAGTCGCAATAAAATTTTAGAATTAAACCGTGGGTATCGTGGTTCACATTCCACATTATTCCGCACGGCTAACCAACGCACATTAAAAGCACTTACATCATCATATGATGGTCGTCGTAAGAAAAAACGTGACTTCCGTCAATTATGGATTAAGCGTATTAATGGAGCAGTTCGTACACTTGGATCTGTAACATACAGTAAATTCATGCATAAAATGAAGAAAAACCAAGTAAACTTAAACCGTAAAATGTTATCCCAACTTGTAATTTTAGATCCCGCTGGATTTGAACCGTTAATGAAATACGAGTAATTCTTAACACGTTACAAAACAACTGAAAAAAAAAAAAGACACAGGTCTTTTCCTTTTTGTCTATATGATACTCGAGTAGAAAGTTGCATATAGACAGAAGTTTTGCTATTGTTCCTATATACACGGAGAGGTGTCAGAGTGGTTGAATGTCTTGGTCTTGAAAACCAACGTAGCGCAAGTTACCGTGGGTTCAAATCCCACTCTCTCCGAGCACAGTAATATGTCACGTTTTTACGTGACATCTAAATCTAAATTAAAAAATTTAAATGATGGTCATTTCAAGACTTAAAGGTAAATCCATACGAAGCAGGACCGAGACCTCCGTTTCCCTAGACACTTCCCTAGATCAGCGATTCTATCTTGCAATTTAGTGTGATCTATGGTTCAATCTAAAATAAAAAAGTCTTACTCTTCCTTATTCTTAAGTCGCAAACGACCTCTTTGAGATTTCAAAAACAGTTTCCGATTTAAGTTTTCTTTTTTTCTTTTACTCATTCTATATTTATTAACCCTATGAACTCTACACGTCAACGTACGTCGTCGCCAATTCAACCGGGGGAGATCATTACGTATAAAAATGTTGATCTTTTACGTCGTTTTATTACTGACCAAGGTAAAATCCTTCCCCGCCGATTAACTGGTGTTACAGCTAAAGAACAGCGTCAACTTGCAAAATCAATTAAACAAGCACGTATTCTTGGCTTTTTACAGTTCCTTTATAAAGAATAATTTTTACTTATGCCAACGATTCAACAACTTATCCGTTCGCAACGCACGACGAGCGAACGCAAAACAAAATCTCCCGCATTACAATCTTGTCCGCAACGTCGTGGAATTTGTACGCGTGTATACACAACAACACCTAAAAAACCAAACTCAGCACTTCGTAAAGTCGCACGTGTTCGTTTAACAACAGGTGTTGAAGTAACAGCATACATCCCTGGTGTTGGACACAACCTTCAAGAACACTCCGTAGTGTTAGTACGTGGTGGTCGAGTAAAAGACCTTCCAGGAGTACGTTATCACATTGTTCGTGGATCTCTTGATACAGCAGGTGTAAAAGGTCGTTTACAAAGCCGCTCAAAGTACGGTGTAAAACGTCCAAAAGGATAAGTAGCCGAAGAGCCACTTTATCTCTCTAAACATTTTGTCAAAAAACGTTTAATTATTTAATTCTTACTTCTTAAATACTATGTCACGCCGAAAAACAGCCAAAAAACGTCCGGTGGCACCGGATGCGGTATACCAAAGCCGTCTAGTAAGCTTATTAGTAAGTCACTTATTAAAAGCTGGTAAAAAAAGTGTTGCTTCAAGCATTTTTTATGAATCAATGAAAGAAATTGCCGATACAACATCACAAGATCCACTTGAAGTGTTACGCCAAGCCGTATTAAACATTACACCAAAAGTGGAAGTAAAATCTCGTCGTATTGGTGGGGCCACATTACAAGTTCCTATGGAAGTGAAATCAGACCGTGGAACAGCATTAGCACTCCGCTGGCTCTTAACTGCATCGCGTGCACGTTCTGGACGTAGCATGGTGAAAAAATTAAGTGCTGAAATTATCGATGCATCCAACAATACTGGGGGTGCAATCCGAAAACGTGAAGACACACACCGTATGGCAGAAGCAAACAAAGCGTTTGCACATTTCCGTTTCTAACTCGTTTCAAAGGGAATACATACATTCCCTTAATACCAAAATCAAAATCACGTTTTTTACAAAAAGCTTTATGGCACGCGAAAAGTTTGTGCGAACAAAACCGCACGTAAACATTGGAACAATTGGACACGTTGACCACGGAAAAACAACTCTTACAGCAGCAATCACTATGGCAATGTCTGCTGTTGGTGGTGAGCAAAAAGGTAAGAACTATGCTGATATTGACTCTTCACCAGAGGAAAAAGCACGTGGTATTACTATTAACACTGCACACGTAGAATACGAGACAGAAACTCGTCACTATGCGCACGTAGACTGTCCAGGCCACGCTGACTACGTAAAAAACATGATTACTGGAGCTGCACAAATGGATGGTGCAATTCTCGTGGTATCGGGTGCTGATGGACCAATGCCACAAACAAAAGAGCACCTTCTTCTTGCAAAACAAGTTGGAGTACCGCACATCGTTGTATTCTTAAACAAAGAAGACCAAGTAGATGATGAGGAATTACTTGAGCTCGTAGAACTCGAAGTACGTGATACACTTTCAAGCTACGATTTCCCTGGAGATGATATTCCACTTATCGCTGGATCTGCACTTCTTGCTTTAGAAGCATTAACAGCAAACCCAACGATTAAACAAGGGGAAGACAAGTGGGTGGATAAAATTATCAAACTCATGAGTTCAGTAGATGAATACATTCCAACACCAGAGCGTGATACAGAGAAGAACTTCCTTATGGCAGTTGAAGATGTATTCTCAATTACTGGACGTGGAACAGTAGCAACTGGACGTGTAGAGCGTGGAATGGTTAAAATTGGAGACGTAATTGAACTTGTTGGACTTGCTGAAGCAAACCGTGAAGCAACTGTAACAGGACTTGAAATGTTCCAAAAATCACTTGAAGAAAGTGTAGCTGGTGATAACGTTGGAGTACTTCTCCGTGGAGTACAGAAAGACGATATTGAGCGTGGAATGGTAATGGCAAAAACTGGGTCAATTACACCACACACAAAATTTGAATCACAAGTATACGTTCTTACAAAAGAAGAAGGAGGGCGTCACACACCATTCTTCCCAGGATACCGTCCACAATTCTATGTACGAACAACAGACGTAACTGGGAAAATCGAGTCATTCATTAGTGATGATGGAGAAGAAGCATCAATGGTTATGCCAGGTGACCGTGTAAAAATGGTTGTAGAGCTTATTCAACCAATTGCTATTGAAAACGGAATGCGTTTTGCAATCCGTGAAGGAGGGCGTACTGTTGGAGCAGGTGTTGTATCAACAATTCTTAAATAAAGAATAACCGCATCCAAGCGACTTCTTAGATTTTAATGGGTGGTTTTCACCACCCATTAAATCCAAATTTGTGCTATTTAAAGAAAAACTTTATGATGAGAATAAAGTAAACGACGGGTCAGTAACTCAGTGGTAGAGTATTCGGCTTTTAACCGATTAGCCGTGGGTTCGAATCCCACCTGACCTAAAATGGCTTCAAAAGAAAATAATTAAAAAAAACGAGAAGACGAGATTTTAAATACTCTGTATACTTACAAGTGATTTGAACACCATAGGTGTTTACTCCCCCTCATTAAGTCAATTTAAAAATTCTCTTTTTTATGTCTCACGCTGTAAAAATTTACGATACATGTATCGGATGTACACAATGTGTACGTGCTTGTCCAACTGACGTACTTGAAATGGTACCTTGGGATGGATGTAAAGCAGGACAAATTGCTTCTGCACCTCGTACAGAAGACTGTGTTGGTTGTAAGCGCTGTGAAGCAGCATGCCCAACAGACTTTTTAAGTGTTCGAGTTTACCTTGGATCTGAAACAACACGTAGTATGGGTCTTGCCTACTAAATTTAGAGTGTTTTAAATACGAAGTTCGGGTACTTCACCCGAACTTCACCCCTTTAAAGAACAACCGTTCTTTCTATATAGGATTATGTCTACAATTAGACCTTATTCTACTTAACTCCCCAACAGTAAGTTAACGTAAAAATAATTTTTGCTTTATTCAAAAAGTTGAACTCCATCTCTTGTGTCCCAAACAAAAAATTGTTTGGTCTTTACTATTTGAATATCTTTTTATTATGACAGCTCTTAAGACAAACCTTGGTCGTATTACACAAATTATTGGTCCAGTTCTTGACGTAACTTTCTCACCAAAGAAACTTCCAAACATCTACAACGCACTTGAAATTACTGCGAAAGATGAATCTGGAAACGACGTAAAAATCGTAGCTGAAGTACAGCAACTCCTTGGAGATAACCTCGTTCGTGCAGTATCAATGAGTGCAACTGATGGTTTACAACGTGGAATGACAGTTGTAGATACTGGAGCAGCACTTTCTGTACCAGTAGGTAAAACAATTCTTGGACGTATTTTTAACGTACTTGGAGACCCTGTAGACGAGCTTGGACCATGTCCAGCAGATACAAAACTTCCAATTCACAAAAACGCTCCAGCATTCGTTGATCTTGACACAAACCTCTCAATTTTCGAAACTGGAATTAAAGTAGTAGACCTTCTTGCTCCATACCGTCGTGGTGGAAAAATTGGTTTATTCGGTGGTGCTGGTGTTGGTAAGACTGTACTCATCATGGAACTCATCGTGCGACCGGTGCTTGCTTAACAACAGCAAGCCAATCCACTAAATAGTGGGTTGATTCTTTACCCTGGGGAGTGCAAAGCTCTCACAGTCGGTATGGACTGAATTGAATAATCGTCGGGTTTGCTTCAACAGAACGGAACTCTCCCGGGCAGCATGGATTATTCATACGAACTCAAGATTTATTTATATAGTGGCACATGCTCTTAGAACATTTACTGAATAGAAACATTAAACGTTAAATTATGAACATGTTAAACAACCTCTTTACGTATCTAATTTCGAACCATGACTTTTAAGGCCCATAAGCTTAAATGAGAAGTATATCAAAAATAGTAATTTTCTATTGGTCATAACTATTGGATATTCATTGAACTAAGTCAGAGGATTAGCTGACTTAGCATACAAACATCTGCCTAAACACAGATCAATGATAGGTATATTTGAGGAATCTAAAAGTTCACAGAACAGGATAAAGGAAAACGGGTGGGTTATTTCGCATAGGACTGTAACCAGCAAAGAAAGCAAACTTACAGCCACCGGTTCGGGTGGTGTGGAATAACTGCAGGACTGATTCAAGAATTAAAAGTTGGTTGCTCGATAAAGGTGACCCTCAATAACACTTAAACCAAAAGAATAAGTGACGTAACCTGACGCTAAGTTGGAGTTAGGTTTATGGACAGAAATGAATCAGGAGATATAGAAACCTTTGAAAATTAGGAGAGAATTATGAGTCCAAATGGAGGAGAAGACAAAATCTTCAAAGCTATTGGGACGTGGGAGAATGTAAATTGGCGTACAGTCGAAGAAAGCATTTTCCTTCTCCAAGAACGCATTTTCAAAGCAAGTAATGGCTACGAGCAAGTATTGCGAAAAGGGGAACCAACTAGTAAAGCGCGAAAGAGATTACTCTCTTTGCAACGCCGACTAATTATGCATCCCTACGCAAAACTGCTTGCAGTCAAACGTGTAAGTCAACAGAATCGAGACCGTAGAACGGCCGGGGTCGACCGTATTGCTAGATTGAGCCCTGCCAAGCGTTTCGCGCTAGCTAGAGATCTCAAGCTAAGCAAAGCTGAAAAACCTATCCGTACCGTGGAAATTCCTAAACCCGGCACAGATAAGAAACGTATTTTAGGGATCCCTGTAATGGAAGATCGAGCATTACAATACCTTGCGAAATTAGCCCTGGAACCAACTTGGGAAGCTAAATTCGTCATGTTCGAACAAAACTCCTTTGGATTCCGACCAGCCCGTGGATGCCACGATGCAACATCTGCAGTATGGCATGCATTACGAAGCAACAAGAAATACGTCCTAGACGCAGATATCAAAGGGTTCTTTGACAATATTGATCATGATAAACTTCTAAACAAGATTGAATGCCCTCCTATTATAAAAAAGGCAATTCAGGGTTGGCTCAAAGCAGGCAAAATCTCTGGTTTTCCACGCACGCTACCCGAAAATCTAGAGAAAACCCACCTGGGAACACCCCAAGGTGGTGTAATCTCCCCATTATTGGCAAACATCGCCCTTTATGGATTAGAAGAAGCAGTAAGAGATTTCTACGTAAGAGATCTCTATGAAAATTTTGGACAAACTGGAAAACTAGTTAAAGCTAGTTCTGTATCCATGGCAGAGAGACGCCAACAAATTAGCATTATTAGATATGCTGACGATTTTGTCATTATCCATCCGTCACTCCAAGTCATCCAACTTACAAAACATTTTGTAAACAGCTGGTTGGTAAATAACGTTGGAGTAGAACTATCAGAGGAGAAGACATCAATTGTTGATTCTGCAAATGGATTCACCTTTCTCGGTTTCCAATTTATTTCGTTACGAAGTAAATCTTCCAAATCTGGATGGAAAATCCGTGCAAGTGTATCTCGTAAAGCCAAAACCCGCCTGCTTGACAAAGTCAAATCAGTATTAGCCCATAAAAGTTGGTCTCAAGAGCAAATTATTAGACGCCTTAACCCCATCGTGGTTGGATGGTGCAACTATTACTGTGTTCATGAGTGCGCTAAAGACTTCAAACAAGTTGAGCTAAGAATCTTCGAGAAATTAAACCACTGGGTCATCAGACGCAAAAGTAAAGGTTTAGCCGGAAGTAAACTCCTAGCTAGCTACTTCAAAGAAACCACGGTCAATTTCCGTGGGACCGAACACTCCGGAAAATGGATTTTCGGATGTGAAGTAGAAGGTCGAGACAAGCAAAAGAACTTTATTTTTCTCGCCTACCCATCTTGGATTAAAAGCAAGCGTCATATCAAAGTCCGAAACTCAGCGTCCCCCTACGATCGCAACGAACGAGGGTATTGGGTGTTGCGTAGCCCACAATTCTCCTTCCTAAGCCCCAGCGTTAAGAAATTAGCGCAACGACAGGATGGGAAGTGTGCCCTTTGCAATAACAAGTTCACATTCTATTCTGTCACTGAATTTGAAGTAGACCATATTGTGCCTATCTCATTAGGAGGGAAAGACCAATATGACAACCTACAACTAGTTCACCGTTCATGTCACACAGAGAAAAGCGCGCAGGAAGCAAGAAACCGTAAAACGGATAGCTCCAACCCAACATCTTAATGTGACCATGAATCCTCACTTTCTGCCTGATATAAGAAAAACGTTTCGTTCCATAGTTTGTGATTTGGAAATCTTCCTACAAGCAGGAAGATGCAGTTATCGCTATAAGGTACAGTGTCCATTGGGCACTGTACAACGCTCACTGTTGTATCGATCAACTATGCACCATCAACGCATAAAAATTCGACCCTATTTTATTAAAAATGAGGTACAACATGAACAAACCTAATAAAGATAACGCTGCACGACGTATTCGTGATTCAAAAGTACAGAATAACTTAGACCAATTCACGGAGGAAACACCAACTCAACGAGAAGAGGATTTTGCAAATAACCTAATGCGTGAATCTATGGAATCATTAGATAACCACCTTGAACAGAAAAAGCGTCTCAACGCCGTTAAGAAAAATACCCACCCGATGGGAATTGTGTTTAACGCTGTAAAAGATGGAGCCGGAAAGGCCTTTGGACGCACCCTTCCAGGGAAATTTGCAAAACAAGTACATGAAATGTTAAAAGAGCGCCAAGCTCTCCAACACCAAATTGAGGCTGAAAATGAACGTAACGCCATTGTAACAACAATTGTTGCAACTGGAGCATGCTCTTTAGCCAACCATTTTGAAAAGTTACATATCATTACAGCACCTATCGTTTGGGTCGTTAATATTCTTGCCAAACTTCTTGGGCATAAAACACCTGTAATCATTACAAAGGTAATTACGTACAAGAAAACAGAATATCTAGCTCTCGGTGTTCAGATGCAATACCAAGTATTCTTCATGATCGGTATCCTTGGACTCAGCTGGTATCTTTCTTTCCGAATCATCTGCTGGTTCAAAAATGTCGTGTCACCCGATGAACGACTCAAAATGTAAAGCACTCGCCACACATTTTGAAGGTATCTAAGCAGTTGTGTATAAATCTTTGTCTTTCTCGAAAGACCTCATTCAATTGAAGGACATGGAAGGGAGATTATTTGTACCAACAGCAACTCTCTAACTTATAGCGAGCCTATGAATCTGAACTTTATATCAGAACCCAATTTAACACGTTCTTATTACATCCTCCAGAGAGAGGATCTATATCTCGGGAGCCGGATGCGGTGAAAGTCGCACGTCCGGATCTGAAGACGGGTCGACCGGGTGACCGGCGATCTAGTTTAACAACAACATTGCAAAAGCACACGGTGGTGTGTCAGTATTTGCTGGTGTAGGTGAGCGTACTCGTGAAGGAAACGACCTTTACCAAGAGATGTGTGAATCTAACGTAATTAACAAAGGAAACCTTGGTGATTCTAAGGTAGCTTTAGTGTACGGACAGATGAACGAACCTCCAGGTGCACGTATGCGTGTTGGACTTACAGCTCTTACAATGGCTGAGTACTTCCGTGACGTAAACAACCAAGACGTACTTCTCTTCGTAGATAACATTTTCCGTTTTGTACAAGCAGGTTCTGAAGTATCAGCACTTTTAGGACGTATGCCATCAGCAGTAGGTTACCAACCAACTCTTAGTACAGAGATGGGTGGTCTCCAAGAGCGTATTACTTCAACAAAAACTGGTTCAATTACATCAATTCAAGCTGTATATGTACCTGCGGATGACCTTACTGACCCAGCGCCAGCAACAACATTCGCACACTTAGACGCAACAACAGTACTCTCACGTAACTTAGCGGCAAAAGGAATTTACCCAGCGGTAGACCCTCTTGATTCATCATCAACAATGCTTCAGCCATGGATTCTTGGTAACGAGCACTATGATGCAGCGCAAGGTGTTAAGAAGATGTTACAGCGTTACAAAGAGCTTCAAGATATTATTGCAATTTTAGGTCTTGATGAGCTTTCAGAAGAGGACCGTTTATTAGTAGCGCGTGCGCGTAAAGTTGAACGTTTCCTTTCACAGCCATTCTTCGTAGCAGAAGTATTCACTGGATCACCAGGAAAATATGTAACACTTGCCGAAGCAATTTCTGGATTCAACATGATTTTAAACGGTGAGTTAGATGACCTCCCAGAGCAGGCATTCTACCTTGTTGGAAACGTTGATGAAGTAGTTGAAAAAGCTGCGAAGTTATAATGTAAAAATTGGGAAGAAAATTCTTCCCACTTAATTAACCTAAAAGAGGTAAACTATGGAAGTTTGTATTGTAAAACCAGACCGAATCTTTTTTCAGGAAGAAGCACAAGAATTACTTCTTCCAACAAACACTGGATACATTGGTATTCTTGAAGAGCACGCCCCGTTAGTTACTGGATTAGATAACGGAGTTCTCGCAATTCGCCAAGGCACAGAATGGAAATTCCTTGCACTTCTTGGTGGATTCGGTGTAATTAAAGAAAACCGTATTAATATCCTTTGCCGAGATATCGAAGAAGCTTCAGGAATTAAACTTGATGAAGCAGAAAAACTTGTAAGCGAAGCAAAAGCAGGTATGGAAAAAGCTGAATCACGTAAAATTTATATTGAGAACCAATTAAAGTTTGACCGTGAAACAGCGCGTATTGCTGCATTTAAAATGTGGGAAAACTCTGCCGGTGGACCGCCAGTATTTATGAGCTAATAACGCAGTAGCTTTCCGCTACAACGTGGAGGAGGGGCCACGCCCCTCTTCCAAACACTATAAAAAAACTATTTTAAATCTATTCGTGTGGATTTTTGATTTGTTTGAAACAATAAGATATACTAAAAGTGCTAGTTCATTCCTTAATTAATTTGATTGGAGAATTCCTCATGACTCAAATTTTTGTTCTTGGACGATTACCAGAAGCGTACGCTCCATTTGACCCGCTTGTAGACGTACTTCCAATTATTCCAGTTCTTTTCTTACTTCTTGCTTTTGTTTGGCAAGCTTCTGTAAGTTTCCGTTAATTTAAAAGAGGGATATTATGCTTACATTAAAAATTCTTGTATATACTGTTGTTAGTTTCTTTGTGTCACTTTTTATCTTTGGGTTCCTTTCAAATGACCCAGGACGTAACCCGAACTCAAAAGACTTCGAATAACAAATATTCAATCCGACGTTCCCTACGGGAACACACTAGTCCTATAACTTCTCTTTAAAATTTTATAGGTCACAATTACTACTAGTATTTGGAGAAAGTAACATGAAAGATTTTACAATTTATCTTTCAACAGCACCTGTACTTGCGGCCGTTTGGTTTAGCTTCCTTGCAGGACTTTTGATTGAATTAAACCGTTTTTTCCCAGATGCACTTAGTTTCCCATTCATGTAATGCGAAGCTAGATTTACAGACCATGTCGTAAATCTCTTATCTGGTAACTTTTGGCCCACATTCTGTGTGTGGGTCGGAAGTTCTCCGTACTGCAAACCCAAAGTCTCAATGTTTTTCAAGTTTCCAAGTGGTCACCTTGACAAACAACCTACTTATTCGGTACGGTATGAAATAGATCCTTAGCCGGGATAGCTCAGTCGGTAGAGCAGAGGACTGAAAATCCTTGTGTCACCAGTTCAAATCTGGTTCCTGGCAAAAAAAATGACTTGTCACATTGGTCGAAGCCGTGTACCACTCCGACATGGTCCAGGACTTAAGTA